AAGGGTTGCGCGGTGCGCCTAAAATGTGTCACTTTACTTATAGCGTTTGAACGCCCGAGGAGGCGAATCCCTGGGAAAGGTTGCGCGGTGCGCCTAAAATGTGTCACTTTACTTATAGCGTTTGAACGCCCGAGGAGGCGAATCCCTGGGAAAGGTTGCGCGGTGCGCCTAAAATGTGTAACTTTACCTAGCGTTTGGGCGCTCGAGGTGGCCAATCCCTGTGAAGGGTTGCATTCCCGATGGACGACGACGGTGCCACCCCTGGCTTTAGAAGAGAGATTTAGATACCGAGATGTAGAGAGTATGTAGAGAGGTAGAGAGTAAGTCAGAGAGTAAGTCAGAGAGTAAGTCAGAGAGTAAGTCACAGAGTAAATCACAGAGTAAGTCAAGTAGTAAGTCACGGATTTAAGAAGTATGTAGAGAGTACAGAGTAAGTCAGATAGTAAGTCGAGAGTAAGTAAGTCAGAGAGTAAGTCACAGAGTAAGTCACAGAGTAAGTCAAGAGTAAGTCACAGAGTAAGTCACAGAGTAAGTCACAGAGTAAGTCAAGAGTAAGTCACAGAGTAAGTCACAGAGTAAGTCACAGAGTAAGTCACAAGTAAGTAAGTAAGTATCAAGTGTAGAGTCAAGTATCAAGTGTAGAGTAAAGTATGGAGTCAAGTAAGTTGATTCTATGTCTGTCATCTATGTACTCAACTGCGGCGTTCCACACGGAAGAACCCTTCGCGAAGCTTTCGGGAATTCCCTTCCAGCTGCTCATGCATGGAGCATTTGGCCAGGAACACCCGGTCTCCAGGGCGCCGAAGCACTTCCAAGCAACGCCCAACTTGAAGGATGAAAGCGTTGCCAGGGCACCACAACACATCCCCTGCAGAGAATGACCCAGTCTTCGTCCTCATCCTCAGAAGACATGATATGCTGTATTATATAGACTGAAAGAGCGGTGTTTTCAACAACAGAGCATATTAATATACTGGACACAGAAGTTCCTAGATTCTGCCAGGCATCTCTGTAGAGGACCGCAAAGCCACTGCATCTGGGACGAACGGCGCGACATAGGCCAGATCTTGCGCAGGGGCCTCCATCACCGGCCCTGCTAGCGACACAGGATCGAGGGCCGCTTGCTCCATGCTCCGCAAATCCTCTGCCAAAGTTCGAAGGCAGAGATTGTCGTGCGCAGCATGAGCCTCCACAGCATATCGCGCAGCAAGGGCCTTGACCTTCTTGTGTTTCCTCTCCGTTGCGAAGCAGTTCAGGTTGCCGAATCTCCGGATGCAATCCGGAACATGAAAAAGATAGTGGAACTTTGGCTTGGCAGCATATGGATATATCTCGCGGCAGATCTCAGCGTGCTCAGCAATGCAGAGCGTCAGCTCCGAAAGATGCAGCTTTGCCCGATCTCCAAGCCGGAGTATCTCCAAAATCCGAGCCAGCACTTCCAAACAGCGTTGGTGCTGCGGAAGGATCCCCGTCGAGGCCAAAACCTCCACCTGGAAACCATGCACGCAACGCACAGATGTCAGCATTTCTCCAGCGAAGGCCCTCATATGAGATTCTATCTCCTGCCTGACCGAGGCAGAAATTCAGAAAAGCAAGGATTTCTGGTGCTAGAAAGAGGAAAACGGTTTATCTGTATACTGTCTTTATAATTCAAAACACAAAACATGGTTTCCAATGTGTGGCGGAGTTCACTCGTTGTGAGAAGAAGTTCGGCGGCAAGCGGTGTTGGGATCTCGGCCATACCCATGCACGTGCAAAGTCATCTAAAGTCTTGAGCGGTATGCCTTCTGCCACCAGTGCGCAGCAATAGCCATTCAAGTGGTATTGCCCAACCCCGCCGCTTGCAACCAAGATGTGCATCCAGTCCCAGCAGGTGTGAGCAATGGGGTTGATGCGACCAAGCCATCTTGCTTGCCAGAGGATTCCAGCAGGTGTATACGTAAGTCCAAACACCTGACCAAGCTTTTTGCGCTCGCCGGCGGTCGCGGCAGATTGCACTCTGGAAACCATGGCCTGGAACGTGGCCTCTGTATGTGCCACGAATTTGCTCGGCTGGCAACAAGAGGTATGCACCAACCACCCATTCGGCGGCACTTCTTCGGGGCTGCAATGGCCGACAAGGTTCTGGCATTGGAAACAAGGCTTGCTGCCTGAGGCGCCTTTGAGGCACCAGACTTCCTTGATTGCTTTCTCATCTGCCAACAGCGGGCCCATTCGTGCTCTGAACACGAAAGAGCCTTCGCTGCATGTGCAGTGAACGCCCTCAAGGAAGTTTCCCGTCACGGGCAGCTCTGTTGTTCCAAAGAACATCTCCAGAACCTTGGCATAAAGCCATGACAGGCCGCCAGGAGTTTTGTCGAGCTGTTTGGTCGGACAGCTCAACACATGCCACCAGCCGCAGTCTTGGGATCTGACAAAGCCAGGGAGCTGCAGAATCGACCAATACACGCACATCTGCTCCCTGGAAGCATCTCCCACACGCAGCACATTCCCAGGCGTGGCCCCATCTGCATAGAAAACCAGACTTGGCACCTCGGAGCTCTGCGTCAGGCCCTTGAGGAGATCGCCAAATTCTGGCCTCTCGGCCGTTAAGCGACACAGCAGGGCCAGGGGATTGGCAGCATAAACCGTGGCAGGTGCTCCCTTGCCACTTTTGTCTGGCTGCGGCATATCAAAAGATAGAAGAACCGGGCCATGGAGAGTGCCTTCATTTGCAGCGCAGGCCTCTTCCATATCTTTCCTTTGCCGTCGCCTCTTTGTGCGATGAGACTCATCCTGCCCCTCCTCTGCATGCCGCGCTTCTAATCGGGCAGCAGCTGCGAAAGACACGGTGGCCTCCAGCTTATGTAGCCGAGCCCGTGGCTTCTGCAAAGGCCTCATGAGGGGCAATTCCTTCTCCAAGTTGCAGCGGGGCTTTTCCTCCGCGCACGATCATGTGTCATCACATATATGATGCATGGCCATCCCATATATGATGCATGGCCATCCTTGCATCCCACCAGAAGCATGCATCCGGGCAAGCCTCGGATGCATTAAAACTTGAGCTCGTGCCCAAAACCAGCTGCGGAAAGAAGCACGGTAATCTTGAATGCTGACAGTTGCAGACACAGGCTCCCGAAAGATTCAAGGTTTAGGCATGGTTTTCAGACTCTATATATATACATATATATATATAGATAGATAGATACATAGATATACAGGGATAAAGGTTTCGACTCGGGGTTTCGTCTCTCTCACCACATATATATATATATATAGTATAAAGACAGATAGACAGATAAATAGATAGATAGGCTTCTCTGGTTTAGGGATTGGGATATCGGGTTTAGGGCTCAGGGTGCAGGGTTGCTTTTTCCAGGATATATGAAGGGAAACCACGTGGAAGCTACACTTTTTTTTCCTGCAAGTTCCAACCTTGCTTCTGTCGTGTGCCCAACGGAACCCTGGTCTGGCTTGTGTTGCGTGTGTGTGTGTGTGTGTTTGTAGAGTTTTTTTGTGCTTTGGTTCCAGTACAGTGACCATGGTTCCCTTGGACGTTTTGGTGTCAAAACTTGGCTACGGTACGTTTTCGAGCGTGGCAAACCACACTCTGCCAGATCAGGTCTCAGAAGCGCGCATATAGCCACGCTGTGCCAGATCAATTCGATCTCCGAGCAGCAGGGATTCCTTGCATGCTCTTTTTTTTTACGGTGGGAAAGCCTCACCAAGTTCGCACACTTCGGGCTCAGCGACTGTGGGCAGCTCCTCTTTGCAGCGCTTGGCCGGTGGCGTAGCTGCCTGCTCTGGGTTCTCCTCTTGCTGCTCCGTTTTCTTCTCTGCAGCAGGCAGTGAAGCCGGCGGTCCTTCAGAGGGCTCGGCAGGCTTCGAGGCTTCCGGCGAGTTCTCCCGCTTCAAGCCTCCCTGGCCCAAACCGGTTGGGAACGGAGCCGGTCGGCTCGGCGCAGTCTTCGCTGCAGCGGGCTTCGGTGTTGCAGTGTCTGGCGAGGAAGAAGAAGACTCGTCTGCAGACTTTGGCTCTTCTGCCTTCGTCTCTTCAAGAGCTTCTGCAGGCTCTTCACGCTTCACCTCCTTCAGTGGCAGGCCTGGCGGCGCTTCGTCGTCAGCAGGGCGAGCCTCTGCAGACCGCTCAACCTTCTGGTCACCTGCTGCAGGGCTAGGAGCATCTGCAGGGCTTGTGCTCGAGAGACGGCCTCGGCTTCGCGAGGAGCTCCTCCGCTTTCTGTGCCGAGCGGCGCGCCGGCTGCTGCTGCTGCTTCTGCTGTGGCGGCTGCCGCGGCGGCTGTGGTGGTGGCCGTGGTGCTGTGCAGGCGGGCCAGGCGCGGCAACTGCGCCGACTGCATACATCTGCATCGCCGGAGAGCTGCTAACCAAGTAGGAGACTTGGTGCTGCAGGGCGCTGAGCTTTAGCTCGGCCGCCCCCAACCGCTGGGCCAGGTCTGCCACCTGGTCCGCCTCGGCCTGCTTGACTTGGGAAGCGGAGATTTTGGCCATCGCCATTCTCCGTGCTTCCGACAGGTGGTCCGGCGGCCCTGCCAGCGTGAGCATTCTCATGCCAAAGCTGTTGCGGTACCGGACAGCTGCCGAAACTCCTGTTGCGTCCTTTATCTCTTGGCGGTCCTCGGCCGTAAGGGTTCCTGACCCGTCGCCGGGCAACTGGAGAGGCCCGAGATGGCCCTCATCCTCGTCCGCGCGTGGGGGGCTAGGATCGCCTTGCATCCAGGCACGGCCCTTTCCCTTTCCTTCTCCTTTTCCCTTTCCTTTTACCTGTCCTTTTCCCCTTCCCTTTCCTCCTCCCTTCTTTGCCTCTCCCCATCCTCCCATGCTTGCGGGTGAAACCTCGCAAGCGGCAGCGGGCAAAACCTCGCTCCTTAAGCCTGCAGGCGGAGCCTCGAAACGCACTATACTCACTACGGTCTGCGGTGTGGTTCTGCGTGCTCGCGTGTGCTGTTTGCTGCGCTCGTGCATGCTGTTCCGTGCTGACCATGTGACGTGGCCCCTTGAGCCATGGGGCTGCGCTCCTGCAGAATTCACGAGGACCTGCTCCACTTACGGGGGACTTATGAAGGGACTTATAAATGGAGTTATAAGTGGTTAGATTCAGAAAAAAAATGGTTAGCAAGTACTTATATTTTGACTTATAACTAGTGTATTTTTTACAAATCATTTATATGTTTGAACGGAGATATAACTGAGATAGATTTACTTCAGTGAGTTGTAAATTCAGTTACCCAGCTTATAACTCCAGTTGCCCAACTTATAACTCCATATATAAGTCCACAACCAGCACGGCCACAGAAGTACTCCAGGGACGGGAAGCTCAAGAAGACCTCCGACGCCACCAAGGAGTCTACGAGAAAATGCTCATGGTATATCGGTAAGTACTCAGACCAGGCGACCAAAAATGGTGAACAAGGCGGTGCAGGTGGGCAAATGCGGTCTCAAAGCACAGTCCAAAGCTCGTCCCCGAAGGCTGGATACAAATGCTCCGGAAAACCCGGAGGAAACTCCTGCTCCTGGTCCAAAGGACACTCGTGCCGAACGTGATGATCTTCGCCGTCAAGCCGCTGATGCAGTGCTGACAACAGCCCCATGGAAAAGACGTCAAAAAGCCAGAGCAGGCGCCTGCGAGCCTGCCACGGATGGCGTTTCCGAGGGCCCTGCTCAACCAACTACAACCTCAGCCAACCCTGTGGCCAGTATGACTCCTCTTCCGACTACGACAACCTCGCGCCAGGGTGAAGCCACTGGGAAGAACGCTGCTGCATCGAGTACTCCGAGCAAGCCCTTGAGTAAGGTCCCATACACAGCTGCTGGTGCCGACCCACAGGAGGAAATCATGGAGCTACGTTTCGATCAACTTCAGGAGATGCAACGATCCGCAGCCAGCAGGAGACACAGTGTTATACAGCGTGCACGCATACAGCAGCAGCAGAATGCATCTTCGAGTACAGATGTTGCGGATGCTTCGCTATCTCATGCACCTACGACGGTCTCAAATGCCTCCTCTGCATATATGAAAAAGCGTCCACCGTATGCAGCCCTCAGCCGTCTCGCATGCTTTATTCTGTGCGGCTACATTGCACCTGTGACAGGTCTGTACATGGTCCTCCTTATGTATTGGTGGACCTTTGCTGGCATCGTGCCAGCACGGTCAGCTCCCCTGGCAATCGTTGCTCGATGTCTGCGTGGTGCCTACAAAATGCAGTGTACTCTGATCCACATCTTTCTGTCAGGCCCGGTGATCTTATGGATGGTTATATACCTGCTGCAAGAGTTCTGGTCTCAGATTCACTATTGCCTTGCAGAGATTTGTTCGTGCCTGCTACAACCGCCACTACGATCGCAATGGCGGAACGTATACGATCAGGCCCCTGCTGTTGCCACAGTGCTTTTGTGTGGTGCATTTGTTGCCTGGCATGTTATCCGACACACCTGTCAATGGAGTACACACTTTGTGCAAACTGCCTTCTCTGGGATGCGGTACCTGCGCATCCGGTGCTGTTATGCATGTGGATGCCTCTATTCATACACGAGTGTCTACATCAGGTTATTCGGCACCACTACACTCCGACACACCCCCCCACCAGTTCGCTATTGCCGCCCCGGTCCCAAGTCCGGGGGCCCCTGGGGACTATGGATGCTCATCCTACTGTCTCAGCTTCTTAGAGTCTCAGGGGTAGAAGCGAGGGTTGGAGCACCTTCGGTGGGTGCTCCGGGAGCCGCGCAAACGGTACTCCCCGGTCGCCATCAGGCGAAGCTACACCGACAACGCAAAGAACAAGGAGACTTTATCGTCAAACGTAGTTTTATCAGAGCACAACGTCGATTGCAACAGCATGGGACCACATGGTATCGCAATCGCTTATACACCCGCCACGATGAGCTAAAACCTATACCGCTCCGTTCCGGTCCACAGCCGACTGATCTCAATCAAGCTCGGTATGCCCGGCCTCGCACTGCTGTGCCAAACCTGCCCTCCTGGCCACTTCAGCAACCCGCACAATCTGTTACTCCCATACAGTCCAGTGACTCCAGTGATGTTGGCGTGGTAACTCTTAATGTTGGCGGCTTGAGCAAGGAAGGATATGACGAATTGGCACAATGGTTGAATCAACCATCTACACTTCGCAATGTTCAGATTGTATTCTTGCAGGAGACCTGGAGAAGTGCATCTGAATTCTCCACACAGCATTGGCGCTGGATCCTGTCAGGTGCCGGTCAAACTGCCAAGGCCAATAATGGCAGTGGTGTAGCTGTACTGATCAACAACAAGCTAGCCTCATCGTCACACATTCGCTATCAGGAATGGCTCCCAGGCCGTCTTCTCGAGGTTCGCATTACGGAGGACAAGCGACGTCCTCTTCTGCATCGACCCATCACCCTTGTGTGCGCCTATCAACACTCCAGAATCTCTCACAGTCCTGAGGTGTACGCAAAACGGCTAAGGTTCTGGGAGAAGCTCCAAAAATGCCTGGATGCAGTGCCGCTCCGGCACACCCTGATCTTTGGTGGAGATATCAATACTGGTATCTCCCCGATGTCGAGGCTCGTCGGCAAAAGGTGCTCAAGTCAGTACCAACCCTGCTCAGGACCAATCCGAATGGCAGGACATTGTACAACAGCACCGTCTTTGTCTTCTGAACACCTGGGGATCGCCGGCCAAAACTGCTACATATGTGGGTGCGGAATATTCTACACTGATTGACTTCCTGGGTGTCAGAGAGCGAGATTCCGGGCATCGCGCCAAACTATCCAGACCACAATCACAGATTCACTTGTTTTCTTGGCGGTCTGGGGCCCGACACCTGCCTGTGTATTCGGTTATCACTCTCAAGAATCCGTATCATCAAGCAGTGACACCCTCGACACAGTCCCACACAGCCCGTATGGACCATCTGGGTATGGCTCACACACTGCTGCTCGCACCTTAAGTGACCCAAGTTATCCCAAAAGCTTAACTGTATTCCCAAGTGCTCACACAGAGCGGCCCGAGTAAGGCTTCTCAAAGTCCCCCCACCAAAAGCTTAGCTGATTCCCAATAAGCCCACACCTTACTCATCCCAATAAGCTCACACCTCACTCAGCCCAAGTGAAGCATCCCAAAGGCCCCTGAAGAATTCCCTCTTAAGCGGCCCAAATGAGGTATTCCAAAGAATTGGCCGAGTCCCCAAAGAGTTCATGATCAAGCTGCCCAAGTGGGGCATCCCAAGCTTGACAGGTTGCCAAACATTTCGGTCCGTCGCTGCCCTCCGCGTTAAGATGTTGCACAAATTTAGATGATCTGGCAATGCCGGCTATGCTGAAGCAATGCCTGCTGGGCAAGCGAAAGGCACAATCGAGGCGTCCCGAAAGCCTGGTGGATAATCGAGGATTTTCAAGCTGACAAGTCAACAAACGCTCTGACCCGTCGCTGCCTTCTGCAGTCGGGCAGGGCGTGTATGAGAGTGCAAAATGCCTACAGGACGAACCAACATTTGACCCGAGACGCTCTCGGGTGATGCAGATGCGCCGCGATGCCGAAGCGATGCCAGCCAGACAAGCCAACATTCGGCTGAATGGCTTCTAAGGGACCCGAAGTCTTCGCAATTGTGGAGTGCTGTGTGCAATGCCGGCAGGGGGGGGGGGGGAGTAAGTGATAAGTCAGGCACCCTGAACTAGGCCCCTCCCCTGTGCTTTTGAATAGACAGAGCAGCAGCCCAGGCGATTATGCTCCTGGGGCAGTGAATCGTGAACCGATGTCCAGGCCTCTGAGCTAAAGGTCGATTAAGAAGTCAAGCTTCATTGGTAGTTTGAGCCGATAGACCCAGCAGAATTCCCGCGCATTTGACAATCAGCAGTAAGTTTGTGTCCGGACTGCTCGAGTTGGTTCACTTGCCAGCTGACCTTGGCAACAGTCGAGTCGACCGGTTCGTCCGAACCACCCGAATGGCCGAATGGTTCGAGAATCCCGCTAGATTGTTGACCTTCCCGATAAAGGAATCAGTGTGTTTTCAGAGCCACCAAGGGACTCCAGGCATCGATCTTTAGGCGAGGCTGCCAAGTGTCTTGGATTACTTCAGAAGGTGTCTAGGACTGCTAGCTTAAATTTATGAGTCCTTAAGGGGGTACGGGCAAATGTTTGTCTCGCGGGACGACCTCAGGGAAGCGTGTGTTGTCTGTCTCGACAGCTTGGGCGCAAGGTGACACAATAGCTGTAGGCGCTCCCACCTGGTGCGATTTGGTGCTCTTTGAGTAGCACGCTAGAGGCCGCGCATTGGGAGCTGGGCTCGGTGATCAACATTGCCCATCTCGTTGACGGATGCATAAGCTTGGTCAGGTGACGCTGCTACTTCGTCGGATGTGAGACGGTTCCATCGTGGTTTCGATTTCACCCTAGGTGGCGACTCTGTCGCATTTCGCTTTCGACGACCACGACCTCAGCCAGGAAGATCTCCCGTGTGCTGGGGGCAGCATAATCCTTGCGAGAAGGAGGGCCAGCTTGTCAGAATAACTTCTTGGTTATGAATTTTTGCCCTAGCATGTAAGGCTGCCAGACGGAAGTGAGCCCCTGCGGCGTTGCAACTCAAGCTATTTTTCGGTCTCCAGACCTACCCAGGGTCAACAGACTTGTGTACCAAGGACCGCCTCAGCCAACATCCTGCATACCTTCATTGATATCTCTTTCCGACGAGTGGAAGCACCTTCTTCGGCAGAAGGTGCAGTCTACTTCTAGTACAGGCTTGGATCCCTGGGATTCTCTCAAGGGCTGTCTGAACATACGACACGCCATTAGGAGGGGCAAGTTCAAAATTGCTGTCTTTGAGGCACTGTCACAACATTGTCCGCACCCAGGGGGAAGACTGGCGGGAAGGAAACCTTCGGGGACTTATGCATGTTGCGGCTCCGCCCAAGGCGTGTCAATCGGCGGTTCATCGCGGAATGTTACAATCGTGTATGCAGTGCACAGCATCTCTCTTCAACGGCGCGTTCGTCGACCACCACCCTCTCTTAGCCCGCCTAAGGTGCCACACCCGGCCGGCATGGCAGATGAGCCCTAATGTGAAGTGTCAATGAGCCTCGCTTTTTCACGCCCATCAAACACATCGGACAAGCCTTCGCGTGAAGCGTGAAGGACGCGGTGGTTTCCGTCCTGGATTACCCTCCAAAAAAAAAAATGATAAGACGGATAAGTGGGGGATACTTCTTGACATTAGTTTCATACACACCTTTGCAGGCGATGAATGTCCCGCCAAACAGACACATTCCTCGACATCAGTTTCATACACACCTTTGCAGGCGACGAATGTTCCGCCAAACAGACGCATTCCTGGGCAGGCGATGATTGTTCCGCCGGGCGATGATTGTTCCGCCATTTGTAGCCGTAGCTGCAGGTATGAGGCTAAATGCCTCTTCGCACAAAGGTACCCCTTGTCACCGCCGGTGAAAAACAGCAGAGCCTTGCGAGAGCTGAGTACCCCTTCTGTGCCTGTTTGGGGTTGAGCGTTCAAGCCGAAAGCCCAAGCTTCCTAATGTGATCCCTAACCGGCAGCCGTTTATGCTCAAGATATTAAGGAGGCCGTCAGTGCGTGCGCTGATAGTCGCTTAATATCTTGAGCTTGTGTTTTCTTGAAAAATCGGACTTTGATTTTTAAGGAAAACGGCTGCCGAAAAATGTTCTGTCAACATTAGCCCAAGTGGCGCTATCTTGTATCTTCTGTACCCGCGCTCGACATCTCAAGGTAGTTTGAAGCCGATCGTGCATAAGCTTCGAGTGACACAACATGCTATCCAGCTGTGAACAAGCCATTGACTTTGCTCATGTAAGTTGCAGAACTTTTTCTTGCCCACCCACCCGCACCAAAAGAGTTGGGGGGGATACTTCTTGACATTAGTTTCATACACACCTTTGCAGGCGATGAATGTCCCGCCAAACAGACACATTCCTCGACATCAGTTTCATACACACCTTTGCAGGCGACGAATGTTCCGCCAAACAGACGCATTCCTGGGCAGGCGATGATTGTTCCGCCGGGCGATGATTGTTCCGCCATTTGTAGCCGTAGCTGCAGGTATGAGGCTAAATGCCTCTTCGCACAAAGGTACCCCTTGTCACCGCCGGTGAAAAACAGCAGAGCCTTGCGAGAGCTGAGTACCCCTTCTGTGCCTGTTTGGGGTTGAGCGTTCAAGCCGAAAGCCCAAGCTTCCTAATGTGATCCCTAACCGGCAGCCGTTTATGCTCAAGATATTAATTGCTATGTTGATAAATACACTTTCGAGTGCTGCTCGAAAGAAGAACTTGAACGCATTGTACGGGAAAACGGCGGATCTGAAGGGAGCTTACAGACAACTGGTGGTATCTGATACAAGCTTAGATTTTTCTTACCTCGCGGTCTACGACCCAGCGGAGGAGAAGCCCAAGTTGTTCCAACAACTAGCTGTGCCTTTCGGCTCTACCAAGGCCGTGTATTTCTTCCTCAGAGTGGCGAGGGCTCTTTGGACTATCTTGGTCAAAGGAGCCAAAATCCCAACCACGAATTATTTCGACGACTTTGTTCTGCTCGCTCTTGGAGGAGATAGGAATTCGTGTTCACACGCTTTCGATGAAGTTATGAAGCTGTTAGGTTGGAAGCTGTCAGCTGATAAGACAACGGAGTGGAACACTAGCTTCGAGGCCCTCGGCGTTCTTTTCGAGCTTGACCAGACGGGGTCCGGAGTTCTGAAGGTCAGGAACACTGAGAAACGGCGCAAGGAACTCACTGCTGCGATCAAAGGTTTTCTGGACAAGGGAACCATGACTCAGAAGGAAGCTCTACAACTGCGGGGTAGGCTGCAGTTTGCTCAAGCCCAGTTTTTCGGTAGGCTGGGAAGAAGGTGCCTGACGGAGGTGACAAAGCATGCCTACACTGGCAGGTCGAAGCTTTCGCCGATGGCCAAGGAACGACTTGAAGAGTTTGGTAAGTTCCTTGACATGGCCCAACCGAGGCTAGTGGGACAAGTTTCATGCAGGACTTTTATGATCCTTACCGATGCGGCGTTTGAAACGGAGTCAGGAACTGGAGGCCTGGGGGGCGTCCTTCTCACCGGGTCAGGTTCGGCACTCTCTTTCTTCAGCGTGCCGATCTCAGAGCAGCAAGCCAAGTCTATGTCGTTGCAGGATGAGCATACCATCATATATGAGCTAGAGATGTTCGGGGTCTTGATCGGTCTCAAGCTCTTGGTCGAAAAGACGGCTGCTTTCGCAGAATCATACGAACAGCCAGGTGCTGTTGCTGGGACTGGAGTGATTTGTTATATCGATAATGATGCTGCGAGACATGCATACATCGCCGGCTCTTCGAAGAAAGGGGTCGCGGGGATTCTTATCGATGAAGTCAATTTCCTGGAGTATGTCCACGGCATCTTGCCGTGGTATGCGAGAGTGGCATCACCTGCTAATCTGGCAGATGAACCATCGAGGATGAAGCTTGATAGAGTCAAGAGACTAGGATTCAAAGACGAGTCTGTCGAGGCGACCAAAGCGGTGTTATCGATTGTGAAGAGAGTTTCGAATCTGCCTGCTTAACACTGCGACTCCTGGAAGTGGGGACAAAAAGAGTCTTGTGTCTCACAGGACCGACAGTTCGAAGTTTTCTGCCGAGTGCGGTACTTGCTACCCCAACGTGTGAAAATAGCGTCGAGCTTTGAACTACTTGCATGTGGCATGTGCGAGTGCAAGCATTTATCCCTGAAGGTTCAAACATGATAGACATCAAAACACAAAGCACGATCTTCGAACGATAATGCTCCTGAGCGCATCCAGGTGTCCATGCACGGTGAACATGTTTCTGTGTAGGCGCTTTGCTTGACATGTCACGTAGTTCTGTCTTTTCCGTCTAGGTACACAAGCGGCAGTTTCATTAGGTTGCGTTTGAGGGAATCGACATGTCCGCGCCATCGATAGCGAGGCTGTGTTCTTGTCGAAGTGCACCCAGCTGGGACTGCCCGAGGATGCTCGTGGCAAGCTCAAACGAAAAGGCTGGGCTACTTTCGGCACTTTTGCATTCTGTGTGCCGGGGGAGCCGGGAAGGATTCCCGATGATGTCTTCAAAACCTCCGTTGTGCAACCCATCCTTGGTGATGGGGGTGAGGAGCATCAGGCGAAACTTAGGCGGCTCCACTTTGAGGCATATGCTTTGACAGCTGCTGAGCTGAAGCGGACGGCCGAGTCCACAGAGTCGGACCAACCACGTAAGGTCCCGACGGCGGAGCTCGCTGCTCGCTATGATGTGTTGCAAAGGCGCGTAAAGCCTCTTCGTCTTGTTGACCGCTTGGAGCCCTCGCATTCACTTGTGAACCTGTCTGCCCAAATGCTTGAGGATCAGAGGGTGCGCTACATCGAGTGGTCGAAGTGTACTAGCCGTGCCCAAGAGATAAATCTTGTGAAGGAGGACGCCAGCTTGAAGCTGCTTCAGGGTGGCCGCTCAGGATCCGTCAAGCTTGTGGACCCCGGGTCCAAAATCACGGCTGACACTAAGTCTGACCTTGAGGTGATGCAGGCCTTGCGTCGCAGAGGTGTGGCGTACGAACTTGCAGCCATCATGTCGTTTGAGAAACACGAGGAATTGATTGACCGACTTTTTATGGAATATCAACGGGAGCCCATGCCGGGGTTCCATCCGATCTCCTTCGCTCAGCTCCAGGCCGCGGACAGGGAGGTGCATGTTCGTATGGGCGAGCTCACGCGAGCCGGGCTTGTGTCGGGGGCGGATGGCTCCTTGCCGCTTGATGGCCCGGTGTCTCAGGTGTTGGCTGGTTCCCACATCCAGTGGATGCTGATGCCTCGTCAGAAGGGGTCCGGTCCCTTGGGCAGCTCCGGCGCTGGTGAGGCTAATGAGAAGCCCGACAAGCCACCGCGCAAGCCGCCTAAAAAGACTGATCCGTCGAAGGCGACGGATAAGGATCAGGGCGCCGATAAGAATCAGAAGGCTGATTCCGGTGCATCGCCGAATGCGGCTGAGCGACCTGGCAAGCAACGGAAAACTCGCTTCGTCATGCCAAAGGCGCTCATCGGTGGAGTCCCTAAGGATGGGGCCGGACGTAACATCTGCTTCGATCATAACCTTGGGAAATGTCCCAATGCTGCGGGGGCCTGCCCAAAGCTTGCTGCTGGTTAGCAAGGAATGGAAGAATGGAGGTTCCCCCCGTGTGTTTCTTGTGGGCGAAAAAAGCTAAACTTGAATTGTTTCCGAAAAAAAGTTTGTCTCCGAAAGTAGAAAGCGCAAAAGGCTACAAATCAAGCTTGGGATCTGTTGTCGCCGATTGAACTTCTTCTCCGTGTGCTTCCCGGCATGCTTTGATGCCTCTCATGTTTTCTCCTACCACAAGTCATCGTGACTAGGGCCCGTTCGCTCTAGTGCAGGTCAGGTGCAGAGTGCAACCAATGTGCATGACACGGCCAACAGCCATTTGGGCAATGATCGTGATACGAATGCGGAGATTTTTGCTGCCACCTTGATCGGCAAAGTCGATGCGGGGGGCATTCGTCGTCTTTTGGAGCTGCTTCCCTCGGAGGTGCCATCGCGCGGTTCGCGTGAGGTGGGCCGTGGGTCCGAATTTTCTTTCACCACAGGTGCTTACACTTATGATCATGGCAAGCGGCATGGTCTTCGCCAACATTGCCGCGACTTTCCGATGTCCACTAAGGTTCTGAATGAGTTTATGCGCTCTCAAGCGCCAGGCGCCAGCTACACAACACTGGCCTTCCCAGTAAACCCAAAAGTCCATTTTGGCTTTCCCCCTTAAATCAATACGCTTTGTTTAGCGTTTACATACCCTATTTTAACAATCCTTAAATTCAGTGTTTTCACATGCCTTATTTAAAGTGCTTTTTCTTGTATGGTTTGCATGCATGTCGTGGCATGCATTATATATATATATATATATATATATATGTATATACAAATTATGTATATGTATATGTACATGTATATATATATATATATACACACACACACACACACACACACACACACACACACACCACACACACACACACACACACACACACCACACACACACACACACACACACACACACACACACACACACACACACACACACACACACCACACACACACACACACACACACAACACACACACACACACACACACACACACACACACACACACACACACACACACACACACACACACACACACACACACACACACACACACACACACACACACACACACACACACACACACACACACACACACACACACACACACACACACACACACACACACACACACACACACACACACACACACACACACACACACACACACACCACACACACACACACACACACACACACACACACACACACACACACACACACACACACACACACACACACACACACACACACACACACACACACACACACACACACACACACACACACACACACACACACACACACACACACACACACACACACACACACACACACACACACACACACACACACACACACTCACACACACGTGTACACACGTACACACACACACACACACACACTCGCGGTCGGCTTCGATCCAGGAGGGGTTCGATATAATGCTCTCCTGTCGACGTGCGATCGCGACCTATAGGAGGGGTTCCATGCAATCTCTCCTGCATGGCGATCATGGCATGATCATGCATCGGCTGCCTGCACGTGCATTTGACTCTCGATCCTTGATCATCATTTTGGCTCGATCCCTCGATTTGGGACGTCGATCGAGATTCGCGATTCATGCTTCCTGGCCGGATCCCCATCGATCATGACCCGTGCAGCTAACACAGCGACTGTGGAGCAAGTGAAGAAGATGTTGAATGCGAACTACAAGAAATTGGGCAGCCAGTATACAGAGTCGCATCCTGCAAAGGTAGCCTGTGCTTACGAGGCCTTCATCTTGGATTACCTCAACGTCTCCTCGCGACCGGTCAAGACTGTGATCTCCAAAGCTGCTTGCTTGGCCTTTGAAGGACTTGAGCAAGCTGAGGCCGACCATTTTGGCCGCCAGATCGCGAATGTTGTGCAGTTTGCTCGCTTGAAGAGGAAGAGCATCTCCAGCGGCAAAAGGACGGATCCTGCTGTACTTCGCATTGTTGAAGCCCTAAGCAGAAGAGAAGCCCGAGAGGAACAAGCCAAGATGGGGATTGCACCTCCCAAGCCGAAGTTGTGGAGGGGCAGGAAAACATTGACAAAGGGCAACTCCGATCCCAAGCCGCCTCTGCCCGTAGAGCCTCGAGAATCAGAGCCTGATGGAGAACGGCGGCCTAGGAGGAGCACATCCTCCTCGTCGGACATCTATGCTAGGTATGGGCTTTCGGTCCCCCGGGCGCCGATCGGGCATGCGACGGCGATCGATGTGATCTCGAGCAGTGGTGATGAGGCTTTTGCAGTCGAGGAGGATGATCATTCTCCTGCAGATGCAAAGACCGTCTCGAAAGCTAAGTCTCACTCGAGCACTGCCGGACCATCGTCCAAGGCCAAGAGGATGAAGTTGTCTTCTGGCGAGGCATCGAAGCCTTCCAATCCTGGAACTTCGCAGGCCAGCCATGAAGCTCGTCTAGATCAGCCCTTGAAGCAGCCCATTTTCACGTACACGGATCAGCATGCCTGCAAGAGCCGGACGATCCTTGCTGATGGCAGTGAGATTTCCACTGACCTGCCCGAGGGTGCTGTTCCAAAGACGGTGATTGAGCATCATAATGCTCTGGCCAGTGCGGCGGCAATGAAGAAGCCAGCTTCTTGTTTGGCACCGAAGAAAAAGCCCAAGAAGGCCAAGGCCAAGGCCAAGGCGAAGGCGAAGCAGACGGCGGTTAAGTCCAAGGCGAAACCGAAGGCCAAGACCCACGAAGCGGCTGCACTTCCGAATGATCCTGCAAGTGATCCTGTCCCTACAGCTCCTGCTGCACCCGCAGCTCCAGGTGATGATCCTGCTGTTGTACCAGCTGCAGACGACGATCCTCTCCACCAGGTTCGCATTACTACGACCATGACGAACCCAAGGGTCTACATCACGGGCTGTCGCTGCAAATCCGGCAAGCACAAACGGGAGTTGTTGTTGGAGATCCGTCAGAGGAACTTTGCAAACTACAAAGACTTGGGGCAGGAGTATCTCAAGAAGATCCAGGACGGTAGCCTCACCTATGGGCAAGCCCGTGCTCTTCGAAGCGAGCTCCATGCAGAGTAGGGGCTGCAATAGCAGGATAGGATCCCGATCGCGAATCGCAATGCCAATTTTTTCGAGTGCCTAAAATGCAAATCCATGTTACTTTGCCGTGCCCTGCTCGATTTTTCATGCTCGCTAGGCATGACATGTTTCGTAGAGCTTTTTGTTGCCGATCGGTCCATAATCGATCGTCGCCATGGCAGGATCTTGTACAAGGACTCCGGCATTAAATTCTGCAGTCGACAATAACCTTGACCCTATTCACGTGTGTATACCTGCAGGATCAACCATGGCAGATCCTCGACCTCGAGGGCAGGCTCTCCATCTTCGAGGTGCTGTAGGCACTGCTTCTTTTGGCAATATCATACAAATATATATATATATATATATATATATATATATATATACACAAATAATAACCTTCTATATAATAAGATGCACTTTAAATTCTGCATCGCAGGAGGGTACATACTCTCCTTGACGACGTTAACAGCGAGGGCCATCGTGCTCTCCTTCTGCAAGGACCATTCGAGAGTAATGGATCGCGGTCAAGGTAGCTGCATGCATGCTATCACGCAGGCTGCAGCTCCTCACCCATGTTTTCGCAGCCTTCTTGCTTAAGGGACGAAAAGCATCCTGCAAGATCGCAATCGCTTGATCATGGGTGCTCACCAGTCGGTGGCCCGCGAGTTCTTGGAGGGCGCCAATCCGGATGGTCCTCGTGAGGATGACCAGGAGCTCGGCGATCTCCCGACGCCGGAGTTCCCACCGACGCCACCGCCATTGCCGCCACCGACGGCACCGCCGGCACCAACCACAGAAGAGCCGACTCCATACGGGTCATACGTTCGCAGATGCACTGTTTGTGGGGAGCTCGCCTACTTTCGCGAACGGATTTGTCTCAATGTCCGATGCCGGGCCACTTGGATGAGTTTAACATTGTTTTATATAACCCCAAAACCCTAAACCCGAACCCTTATGAACCCCTAAACCTCCAACCCTAAACCCTGGCAGTTGTCCTTCATGGGTGTGCCGGACCTGAACGTACGTGGCCAAGAACTGGGCCGGCCAGCCGCCTTCAAATCCCAAGAAAGCGGCCGAGTACATGGAGTACTATCGCCTGCACCCAAAGAAGAAGAAGAACAGGGGATTAAAGAGGAAGGCATGGTGGGCAGAACATTGCAAGCGAACCAAATCCTCCTGGAACGCATGGGGCTATCGCAATCGTGGCGAGGAACCCGACGAAGAGGAGGAGGACGAGGAGGACCCGGTTTTGTGCACGGCGATCTGCCTGTGGAAGCCGCCTCCTGGAGATGACGATGATGAGGATGGCGGTGATCGTGCAGGCCCGTCCGGCAGTGCAGACGTGCAGCCGATCGTTGTGTCCTAGATCGAGAAGATCCACGGGCCGGGCAGTATGAAAAAAAGATGGATCGATTGTGCATGCAAGGCATGCCATTCGATCTATATAGTGTCTGCATTGCATGATCTCGGTGTGAAACTCCTTGCATGCAGGACCTCGATCGTACCGTGGGCTCCATCGCGATCGAGTCGATCGATCGTTCTCGCGAATGCAGGCCTGTACCCCTTAAACATTCAACCCCTAAACCCTCGTTCTGCTTGCAGGCTGGCCATCAAGATCGAGTCGATCGTCGTTCTCGCGAATGCATGCAGGCCTGTACCCCTTAAACATTCAACCCCTAAACCCTGCTTGTGCTTGCAGGCTGGCCATCAAGATCGAGTCGATCGTGGTTCTCCCGAATGCAGGCCTGTACTAATTAAACCTTCAACCCCTAAACCCTCGTTCTGCTTGCAGGCTGGGCTTCAGGATCGATGTCAAGTACTTCTGCAAGGCCTGGGTCCAAACCACGTGCAAACTTGAAGTGCTCTGGATGTGCTTTTGTTCAGGATATCGACGTGGAGATCACGATCCTCAAGGCTTGCAGTGCATGTGCCTCGAGCTGACAGCTCACATTTTGTCGCGAGGATCGAGGACTTGTTTCCTGCATGTGCTTTGTCTAGGTACTTCTGGAGGTTTTCGGTAGCCTCCACAAGAGATCGAGTGATATGAGTTCAACGACTCACAACATATTATTTTACAACCTGGCTCCAATTGTGTAACGGCGATTAATTTTGTTTTTCAGTTCATGTTCTTCAGGAGCCCACCCGGGCTCCTCACGCGATCGAGGAGGGTTGCACGTGTGGCTCTCCTTTGTCGTGGACCGGCCTCGATGCTAGCTGCTAGCTTTCCTAGGATCGAGACCGCCAATATTAACACATATCTATATATATATATATAGATATGTGTGTGTACATGTGCACGTATGCATGTATATGTAGATTGCATCATGATGTACAAATATATCTATCTATCTATCTATCTATCTATCTATATATATATATATATTGTCTATATATATACACTATAGATATATGTTAAAATTGTCATGTACATGTGCATGTGTAGACATTATAATATATGTGTTTACATTGCTTAAGATATGATTGTATGTAATATATATATATACATATAAATATATATAGATCGATATGTGTGTATGTATGTATGTATGTATGCATATGTATGTATGTGTGATATATGTATATGTATATGTATATGTATATGTATGATTCTGATCGAGTTTGTAAAGATAAAAAATACATGCATAGACACATGGATGCTATAAGCATATATGATGTATGTCTATATATATATGTATATATAATGCCTGTGTATATATTGTGTATGTGCTAGGTATATGTGCATACAGAGATTACACATGACATGTACATGTACATGTGTATACACTGTATAATTTAGGTGAATTACTTTAGGTTATCATGATTGTATGTAAGGTATGTATATGTTAATTATGTATATGTCTCTATGTATGTATATATGTATGTATGTGTATAATCATAATTAACTATGAGTTTGTATATATGAATTAATTATACACACATCTATGCTAGAAGCATATGTAAGTGTATATGTGTATATATATGTATATAGATATATAGTATAACTATACATAAGACATATGTATGTCTATCTCTATATATATATATGTCAAAATATGTATTATATGTATATACCCATAAAACCTTAAACCCTGGACCCAGCCTGGCCCAAACCCTGAAATCTAAACCTTAAACCCTATACCCCTGAACCCCTAAAGGGCTATAAAAACTGTTAATGGAATATGTAGAGTGCATTAATATTCGTTTTTACCAGCCTCCTCGAAAGTATAGGAGGCTGTTAGAAAAAATATAAAGTTAAATTGGAGTTAAATTTAACTCCAATTTAACTCGGATTTAACTTAACTTAAAACATTGTACGCAATCAAAACCAACAAGTTAAATTAAAGTTAAATTGGAGTTAAATTTAACTTCAATTTAACTTTTGGTCTTTCTTGGCTTGTTGTATATAGATTCGAACCATGCACACCTAAAGATCGACCCCAAACTTTTGTCCACCGATATTGCATCCTGCTTTCGTGGTGCAGTTTGCTCGAGCGATATATATCGATCGCACCAGTCGATTTCAAGGCTCCCGTTTTCTCTTCTTGTTGCCACAATGTTCCTTTCGTGGCTGGCAACTTGCTTCCCATGCCTGGCGATTGCATTCATGCCGCCTAAGAAAGCTACGGCAACAAAGGCGGCTCCGAAAGCAGCCAAGGCCAAGGCTAAGGCGAAGGCGAAGGCCGTTCCGCAGATGCCAGTGAAAACTGAGCCGGCAGAGCAGGCCCCGCTGGATGGTGTGGATCCAGCCGAGGTCAAGAAGATGCAGAGCAATTTGTCAACCCAGGGGAAAGCGAACTTGAAAAAACTCAAGGAGTACAAGGAGGGCAAACTCTCCTTATCACCGAAAGAGCTTGAGACCTTGGAATCCAAGGTTCAGTTTTACAACGAGTACGGGAATCTCGGCCGGAACCAGCACCACGAGAGAATGATGATGCTGGCCAGCTGGAACCAGGATAAATCCGGAAAGGCTTGGGCACAGAAGACGAAGACCTTCGAGACACAGACGAAGACCACAGAGGGGACCCTGGCCGGGTTCATGACCCGCACCTTTTCTGCATTGCTATGCAGGCATGCATGTAGAAATCGATACTAGATATATATAGTATATGTATATACATGCATATATATATATCTATAGGATCCTAGGAGTCGATCATGCATGCACTCGATCGTAACCTTGGTCTGCATGCCTCCTTTTGAACACATGAAGTTCAGGATTCGAGATCGCTCAGCATGAAAACATGGATGTGGACGACAAGCTGCTGCTTGCGATTTTGAACGAGACCCCCTTCGACTACGACTGGGACGAGTCCTCAGCGAGGGAGAGGGCATTGAAAAAACAGAAAGAGAAGCGATATCACTATGGCAAGAGGAAGCATGCCGAGACAGACTCCGTGACTTTGGAGACGGACGCCATGCATGCCGGTTTCGACTGCAATGACAAAGAGAAGCAGAACATGCTCCTCAACGAGGCCTCGGGATCCGGAGGGAACCCCACCGTCACAGTCGTGAACCCCGAGCTGGTGGAGTTCAAGGGTCAGCTCGGCAATTTGCAATCTGGCAAGATCAAGCTGGAAAAAATCGAGACGCAGCTGAAGGACTTGTCCGCCAGGGGAGCACATGCCGGTGTTACCGGGACCACGGCCACGGAGATGGACAACGCACTCAAAGAGCTGGACACTTGGCTCAAGGATGCTCGCCTCGCTTTGGCCACCCTTGACTCGATCCAGGCCCCGAGTGCTGACAATAAGGCCCAGGTCGCTGAGATGATTGCTGAAGCAGTCGTCCACCAGGATGCTGCTGGCAAGATTCTAAAGAAGGCTAAGGCCATTCTGTCCTGATCGAGCAAATCCCGGGCCAGGCCGAGGAGGATCGATGATCCTCCTGTGCCCGAATTGCATGGTTTTTGCAAGGAGCCTCAAAACAGCTTCTCGACTGCCAGTCTTTTTGTGGCTTGCCTGCACGTGCTTTGCATGGATCGTTGCAATTGTTTTGCACATCTGCAGGTGTATGTATAGCTATAGCTATACGGCTCGAGGCGGTTCGAGCTAGCTGTTTGCCATGAATTCCAACAAGAGGGCTCAGATAGACTTGAGCAATGTGGAGCCCCCAAGAAGATTAGCAAGAAGGTTGGGAAATTTGTTCCTGACCAATGCAGTTCCTGCTGCAGAGGCTGGCCGTTTGTTTCGGGATGCCGAAGCCAGTGGCAGTGCACACATGGATCGCCTTGCAACACTGGGCTCCCGGAGGGCGGACGATCTAGCTCGACACAGGGATGTCTTGCGAAAGAT